GGTGCCATCATGGCACCGGATACCGGTACCCATCCCTAGTCACTGATGTCTGTTAGTCTGGAAAGGAAAGATATTTCTAAGACTTTGGGACTCCACTGAATCATTATCGACACCACTTGGAACAGTGGTGTTGATAATTACCCTAAAAGCTCGTCGACGACTCATCCACGAGGTCACAAAAGAACCCAGAACAACATCAAAGACCTGCAGGCCTCACTTGTCCCAGTAGAGGTCAGAGGTCATGATTCTTCAGTAAGAGACGAGGAAAAAAATGGCATCCGTAGAAAAGTTCCAAGGAGAAAACCACTGCTGACCAAAAATCACGAAAACCTTCAGGAGGGTTTTTAGTCCCATTCAGAAGAAAGATGGCATATAGGGAGGTGGAAGGACAAAGGAAAAGTTTTGCTGTTTTTCCGTTTTTTGTAAATAGACCTAACATTAACACTGCAATCCCTTTCTTTTTAGTCCATGGTCCAGTCGTACCTGGAGGGAGTGGGCTGGGGTCTGGAGCAGCTCCGCGAGGCCCGGACTGAGCTGAGGGAAGTGTCGCGTGATTTGAAGAAAGCTGGACTGGAGTCTGATCAAAACACAGAGGGGGGAAGATCTCTGGAGAGACTGAGAGAGGTGTCTGCAAACCACAGTCAGCTCCTCGCTGCCGTTAGCAACCTGCCACGACTTTACTCCGGTGAGAAGCGGCTGTGTGGATGAAAGTAGGATCCCACGACGAAAGTGACTAACGTAGATGTCCCGGTCATCACGCTTTGCATGCATACATGCATACATTTGCCTTAATCCTGTTATATGATGAGCAGATTATTATAACTGGTTTTAATTTGACATGAAAGGACTTTAAATCTAAAGATGACATCATTTTACACAGTAAAATAGGAATAGGAAAACTATTTGAAAGCTGACACTAACACCATAAAACATTTACATTGATGCATTTTGGAAAATTTAACTGTGACTTTGTTTGTTTCTGTGTGTTTATGATTTGAAAACACATAAAAAAGGTGTCCCACTGCTCTAATGTGTATTTTAAGGATACTGAGTTTTCCATGCTGAGGCCTTAAAAGCTTTAAAAGTGTGCACATGCTGTGATAATGCAATCTAATACATGCGCCCCGTAATGAACGGCATAATGTTCGGAAAGCATTTATTTAGATCTGCTAAGTAACAAGGTTCTTGTCTGTGAATGTGCTGCATTGAGTTCTAGTGTTTAATTTTAACTACCACATGTATCTGAATATGACATTTACGCTATTGCTGGTTGGAAAATCCCCTTATTTTTCTGCCTGATATTCAGAGGTGTGTCTGCATGCCTAAAAGAGAATGTTCTGATTGGCTGCCCTTTGCAGCCATGTTTAAATGGCAGGTGGGTGGGGCTTCTGATGTCACCGTCATCTATGATGACCGCATTACGGGATATCCACTCATAATGACTTCAAACAGAAACTATAAAAAACTGTGTATAGCGCAGTGTAAACTTTTTCATGTTTAATAATT